ACCTTCCCACTTGTCCAGTTCCCTAATTGTTATCCAAAAAGAAAAAAATCACCTTGCAATTCTTTTCCTTCAACAAATCTTTTCCCCAAGCTACTGTTATCAACTAGATGTAACTAGAGAAGCAACTTCCTCAAATTATTTCAAAGAGAAGTGATGGTTGTAATGGTGTGCTGGAACTGGCCAGTACAAACTTACAACGGTTGTCTGTTTCATATGTAGAATTTTTCAGCCCTGATTAGGAAAATGCCAAATGCTACAAATCAGAGAATTTTTTAGAGAGCTAGTCAACCAGTTCACCATTATTATGTGACCGGTATGCTACATAAGATCATTTTCATTTTAAAATATGTGTTTCTTTAGCATGGTAGTGCCATGAAAAAAGGCACACAGAACAATGGAACAGAATAGCAAGCAAAAAAATAAATCCACATATTTATGGTCAACTGATCTTCAACAAAGTTGACAAGAACAAACAATGGGAAAAGAACAGTACCATCAATAAATGGTGTTGAGAAAACTGGATATTCAAATGCAGAAAAATGAAATTGAGCTATAATCTCTCCACAAATACAAAAATCAACTCAAAATGGATTAAAGACTTAAATGGATTTAAGACTAAAGAAGACATATGGGGACAGCTCTTTGACATCGATTCGGGGAATAAGTTTTTAGATATGATCCCAAAAGCACAGGCAATAAAAGCAAAAATAGTTACGTCAAACTAAAAGTTTCTTACAGCAAAGAAAACAATCAATACAGTGAAGAAACAACTTATGAAATGAGAGAAAATATTTGCACACCATACATCTGTTAGGGCATTTAATATCCCAAATATATAAGGAACTGAACTCAATAGCAAGAAAACAAATAACCTAATGGGCAAACAATCTGAATAGACAATTTTCAAGAGAAAACATACAAATGGCCAAAAGATACATGAAAAAATACTCAGGTATATAAGAAAATGTAAATAAAACCACAATGAGATATCACCTCACATGTGTTAAAATGACTATTACCAAAATGAGGAAATAGCAAGTGTTGACCAGGATGTGGAAAAAAGGGAACCTTTGTATATTATTGGTGGTAATGTAAATTAGTACATCCATTATGGAAAACCATATGGAAGTTCCTCAAAAGATTAAAAATAGTACTACCATATGATCCAGTAGTCCCACTTCTGGGTATACATCAGGAACCGAAACCAATATGATTAGGAGCTATCTTCACTCTTATGTTCACTACAGTGTTATTCACAATAGCCAAAGCATAGAATCAACTTAACTGTCCATCAATGGATGAATGGATGAAGAAAATGTAGTACATACATACAATGGACTACAATTCAGCCTTTTAGAAAAGTAGAACACCATGTCATTTGCAACATGTATGAACTTGAAAGACATTATGCTAAGTGAAGTAAGCCAAACACAGAAAGACAAATAGCACATGAGCTCACTCATATGTGGAATCTAAAAAAACATCAAACTCAGAAGCAGAGAGTAGAATGGTGGTTGCCAGTAGCTGGAGGTATGGAGGTGGGGGTGGAAAGACATTGGTCAAAGGGTAAAAAGTTTCAGTTATACAGGATGAGTAAGTTTGGGAGATCTATTGCACAGCATGGTGACTATAGTTAAAAATAATATACTGTATACTTCAAAATCACTGAGACAATAGATTTTAATTGTTCTCACCACAAAAAATTATAAATATGTGTGGTGATATATATGCTGATTAGTTTTAATCATTTCACAATGTATACATATAAACATCACCTGTACACCATAAAATGTAAAATAAAATAGGTGTTTATTACCTAATAAAATCCCAAGCAATGAGTCAGTGAACTGGAGAATTTTCTACAATATAATGGCAATACATGGGTGAGAAAAAGATCCTTTCCCAGCACTCCTTAATCATAGCAATGAGTTAAGCTGATCTTGAATAATAGTAATTAATTTTTATTTAACATACTATATCCTGGGTACTTTATATGCATCTATGTCACTTAATCTTCACAAAAGCTCTATGAGATTTATCTCCCTATGTCAGTTGGGAAAACCAAAACCCATGGAAATCAGCTGACTCAATCAAGATCATTTATGTAAATGACATGGGCTGGTGTTTGAGTTTACCTAGCTTGGACGCCAGTCCAAACTTTCTACTCAGTAGCTCTGAAGAATCAACATGATGCTGTTCTTGACAAAATTTACAGAATTATTAAAGTTTTGCTTGAGACACTTCCTCAACAGTAAGTTTAAGTAAGCATGTCTTAGATGACTGGCACTTTTCCACAGAAACAAAATAGTGACTTAGATGACCACATGGTCCCTCCAGGCCTTCTAAGTTTAAATTTTGAACCATACAAACTATGTTCATTACTATCTAATATGTAGATTGCATTGTTAAACATTAGCTGTCTTCCTCAAGACTAAAGCCTATAAGGGCAACTCCTATATTTTCCATAGTTAGAAAGGGTTTTCATCCCAATTATCAGGGCTTTCCCCACTTTAAACTGTACCCTGTTCTCATTTTTGAAGCAATATTTTGCCCAAGAGAAACTTACCACCACAGATCGTCTCAAACTTAAAGAACAACAAACAATTTATCTCAGGAGGTTATCATAATTGTCCTGACTATATTTGCTAATTATTGATGCTTTTCCAGTTTTATACAAGAGATTTGTCCATCTGTTTTCCTAGTTTGAATGTGAAATGAATTTGTAAAGGCAGGGTTGTAACCACAGCCTCACTTCTCCCAGGCAACAGATTATGATGCTATGCACCCAATTATTATATTACTGTAGAATATGCTCCGAAAGAGATATCTGATCCCATCACAAACTAGCTGAAAGACCAGCAAATGGCAAGATAATAAAATAAGTTACAGCTAACACTTATTGAGTAGTCACTGAGTGCCAGGTACCACACTAAGCATTCTACTGTATTAACTCTTTTATCCTATCGAGTTAATTATTTCCAGTGCATCTTGCTATTGCCCTAGAAAACTTATCTATACACAGACAGTAAAGATAAATTTAACCAACTTGACTCTACTACCACAAACCATATTCTCCCATACTCAGCTTCCCCGACTCATTGTTTGTGCTTCCTGATATCCATATACAAAGAAGGATCTAAGAGACAAATACTTTGAATCTGAGCAATCTATCTCCAGAATCCATTATTCTAACTCCTACATTGTATTGTACTATTGAAGAAATTGGTAAATAAGGAGATAAAGAGAATTTACAAAGGTTTCCAATCATTTGAAACCACAGAATCATAGCATCTCAGAATTGATACAAAACTTAAAAATATTAAACATAGGTATTCAAATGTGGCAACAGAATGTTTCTTACTATTCTAAAAGCCAAAACCAAACCAAACCAAGCAGTCTTTTGTAGTAAGTCTCTTTGCATTACAGGTCACGTCAAGGGTTGATGGAGTGGTTCAAGTGCTAGAGCACCTGCCTCACAAGCATGAGGCCCTGAGTTCAAACCCAAGTACCGCCAAAAAAAAAAAAAAGTCATGTCAAGATCATTAAGAAATCAAGAAAATACAACTTGATCCTAATCTTTGGGCTTAATTTGAGACATAGACATACACTAGATTTAATCCATAGTATTTTTACCTAATATTGTGAAAAATTACAATGCCTAATATTTTAAATGCCCACTGTCAGTTAGCAACTAGAGGAAGACATGAAAAGTAGTAAATGTGAGCAGAAGCATTTAATTCAACATATACTTTGGCCAACCACATCCCACATATCTCACATGGGTACAAACCCTTTCTAAAAGCATGGCCCTGTGATTTTTGGAATACATGTGCCTGTGAGTCACACTTACCAGAATTTCTCTTTCTGGATATCAGAAGGTTTACAAGCATTAAAGTGTTTGGTGAAGAATCAAGGAACTTCTCATCTTCCTCTCTAATTAGAGGTACTTATAAACAAAATTATTTTCTCCCTTCATTATGTTGAGAAATTCTGCCTCTTCTCCTTCCTGCTACCTGCCGCAGTAACTCTCCCACTATCTGAAGTTCCCTTGTGAAGCAGTTTCAATAATTTAGACATCGATGTTTGCATGTAAATGAACTCAAGAAGTAGGATCCTGTATATAAGTTGTGAAACTTAACGCTCTCAAACTAAATTAATTAGAACAGCCTGTTAAACATTAAAATTAATCCCCTTCAGAGATTCTAATTCAATGGGTCTGAGATATGGCCAAAGAAACTACATTTTAAACAAGTGTTCTGCAAGCCACCAGCTGATCACGCTTATAATCTTAGCGCCTAAGGATGCAAAGATGAGGAGGATCATGGTACAAAGCCAGCCCCAGGCAAATAGTTCGTGACACCCTATCTTGAAAATACCCAACACAAAACAGGTCTGGTGGGGTGGCTCAAGTAGTAGAGCACCTGCCTAGCAAGTGTGAGGCCCTGATTTCAAACCCCAGTACTGCCAAAAAAAACTGTGTTCTAGGTGATTCTGACCATAAAGAACACAGCTCTATATATCATAAGCACTAGAGAGATGAGGATCCATCAGTGGGAGGGAAGACTAAAATAGCACATGGCATTTGGGAAAAGAAGGTGGCCTGTGGGCCAAGAAGAGGCACGAAGATGGAAAGGCATAAAAGAACTGTGAAACTACTGGCATTTGGATGTAAATTACCACCAAAGGTTAATTCTGTCTACCTGAAAAGTCTGCTTAGCTTTGTGTATACAGCTTTCAAAAATCACAATATATATGTTAAAATCAAGTCTGCATATGAAACATTCATATAATATAGAATGAATAGAGGAAGAGAAGAGATAAATCATGGAAAGAGTTCATTAAATAGAGGACACTGGACTCTAAAACAACAAAACAGTCAAAATCATAACAGACATTCAAGTTTAAGGCATTTCCTTCAACCAGAGGAAACTCCTCTCATTTTTCCAAGTCATGTGAAAACAGTCAAATACTCTTTAAATCATTCCCTCTAAGTATCTTACCTTTTACGTTGCCGGATCCCTGATAAAACCAGTAGTGTAGTTGCAACTATGACAATGCAAAATATCACACCAAATATAATAATCCAGATGGGCACAGGTGGGTCCGTGGGTGGTGCAAGAGTGGAAGGAATTTTTAAAAATTCCAGAGTATGGTCATTTAAAAAGAAGGCATTGTTGATCCGGTTCCTATTCATTCTAAATGTGATGATAATTAAAAAATGAAAAAAAATTAGAAACAAAGCACAGACCTATCTCTTCATGATTATAAATACCTCTATAAACAGAACACCCTCCTAGCAGAAGACTTCAGGTTGGCAATTTGGGTTATAATACATATATACATAGAAATGCCACAATGAAATTCTCTGTATAGCTATCTTATACAAACAAAAATGCCTTTTTGCAAAAAATGGAGGATAGGAAGCTAAAATAGGTGCTGTCTGGGGGTTGGCACCAGTGGGAGGAGAGAAGATATAAGGAAAGGGTGTAGGAAGGTGAATATTGTGGAAATTTTATGTACTCCTGTATGAAATAGACAAATGACACCTGTTGAAACTATTCTAGGAATGGAGGAAGGGGAGATAAAGGAGAATAATGGAGGGAGTGAATTCAACTATGATATACTGTAAGAACTTTTGTAAATGTCACAATGTACCCCCAGCACAACAATAAAAAAAATCTTGGTTTCTCTTGGTCTATGCATAGAAATTCTGTTTGAAAAAGAACTATACAGAAGTTTACTGTTAAAAAAAAGACTTGAGGTTGGCTAGAAAGTTGCTGAAGGCAATCAGGCTGACGTTTCTTTCAGCAGGCTGCAGTGCTGGCTGCCAGAGAGATGCCCATCTATGTATTGCTTTCTTCCATGGTTGCAAATATTCTAGAAGTAACCAGAGTCTTGAGTTTTGAGCTCTATCCACCATACTTTATTTCCTAAAAGGTAGCATCTGGAACTCTATTTAAGACGGCTTACATAAATACCAACATCCCCCCTCCAAAAAAATAAAATTACATGTAAAAAGTGGGTGACATACATGGGAAGAAAAGAAAACTAAGAACAGAAAACATAAACTAAGGTTGGAGATGTGGCTCAAGTAGTAGAGTGCCTGCCTAGCAAGCACAAAGCCCTGAGTTCAAATCCCAGAACTGCCAAAAATAAATAAATAAAATAAATCACGAGTGGCATTGAATCTATCAACATGATTTTTTCCCATTAATTCAGCAAACATTTGCCAAAAATTAACTGTGTGAAGTGCTAAAGATACAAAGTGAAATAAAAATCCTCAGAAGCTCACAGTCTAGATGGGTGGCCAATTAGTATATTTGTAACTCCAATGCAGAGCAAAATGTTCTGTGAAAATGGCAAATATGGGCACAGAAAGAACACAGGGGAGGCAAAGTATATTACAGTGAGCAGTCAGGGCTGTTTTTCTGTGGGGCAATTTTTGAGCTGTGTTTTAAGGGATAAGTAGGAGTTCTAAAGAACTAAAGACTTAAGTACCTAGTAAACACAGGAATGGAACCAGGGTGAAATATGACTTGTTCAGGAAACTGTGAATGGCTCCATATGACTAAAAGCAATGGTGGCTCAGGAGTCCAAAAGTGTAGAAAAATATCAAGATGTGCAACTTTTCCTAGAGAAAACCTGCATTTTGGATGGTGGTGGCAGTCAGGGAGGAATTCATAGCAAAGATTTATTTAACTGAAAAAAAATGAATTTCTTACTGGAATTTGTTGAGGTTTTTTGTTTATTTACCTTTTGTTTCCCCCACACACTCCCAGCACTGGTGTTTGAACTCAGAGCCTCACACTTGCTAGGCAACCATTCTTATTGCTTGAGCCACTCCAGCCCGTGTGTGTGTGTGTGTGTGTGTGTGTGTGTGTGTGTGTGTGTGTGTGATGGGCTCTTCAGAGATAGGGAGAGAACTATTTGCCTGGGGCTGGCTTTGAATGGCTATCCTGATCTCTCCTTCCTGAGTAACTAAGATTATAGGTATGAGCCACTAGCACCTGGCTCTTACTTATTTGCAAACTATGCAAGTCAATTCCTTGGAGATATTTTATGCCTTTTACAGAATTCACACTACACAAGTGAGCTTCATTTACTTGGTAAATAGAAATATAATGTGGGCCTTTCATGACTTAAAATTTCCTAGTAGTTACATATACTATTAAAAAGTACGAAGAAATAGGGAAATTAAATTTTAATAATGTATTTTTGTTCAATAGATCCAAGAAAATATAACATATAATCAGTACTGACTTGGTTCACATTTTATTTTGTACTATCTTTGAAATCTGGTATATATTCTACACTTCATTTTGGATTAGCCATGGTTCAAATGCTTGATAGGCACATGTGGTAGGTGGCTACAATACTGGACAGTTCAGGTCTAGAGCCTGATAGCAATGGCTTGAGAATCTCCACAGATCAGTGCCAGACCATCGGGGAAGATCTCCCTCAGAAAATAAAAATCTATGCTGAGGGCTGGGGATGTAGCTCAGTGGCAGAGCACTGCTTAGTATGCACTAGGCTAACCTCTAGCACCATACGCACACACACAAAATCAATGCTGAGGCATGGTCAGTCATAGATGTAAAAGAGATCCCCAGTCAAATAATCTATAATAAGGGGTAATTTAAACATAATTTTATCAAACCATAGAATATTTTCCTTCTTCATAATCTAGTATTGAAAATATGGAAATGCAAATACTTCCACAAAATAATGAATCCACTACTAAGCTATAACTCATAGGAAAATGAAAAGTTGCCCTGTATACTGATTCTATCCACCCAGTTGGTTAACCCATTGCTACTTTCTTACTCTAGGCTGGGAACATGCTCTGTCACCTATCAGGCTGATTGGAAGTTCTAGCTCAGGTACAGATTAAATCTCCTTCACCACTGGAATCCCAATAGACATCAGTCACTATGGAGATCTTCCAGCTAAGACCAGGGTTAAATTATACCAGGCCCTCACAAAAGAGCTACAATAGACACCTTCAACTGGTTGTGCATTCCCTCACCTCATTCCATAGGTGTGAATACTCTAATATAGACTAAGAAAATCACTGCAGAGAGTGGGCAAATATGATCAAAGTATGTTATATGCATGTATAAAAAGTCACCCACTACTTCAAACAATTAATATACAGTAACAAAATACATTAACAAGATAAAGTTAAATTTAAAAGTCACTGTAGATTTGGCAGCAGAATCCCTAGTTCAAGTCCCCACTCTTTCTTTCTAACATGGTAGTTTTATCAAAGCAATCTCCTTGAGCTTCAGTTTCCTCACTTATAAACCAGGAATAATAATAATTACTATACTTAAAAATTATTGGTGATGATATTAAATGACACAGATGCATAAGACGTGCCTGTGAACCAAAAAGTGTTATGCAAATATTAGGTAGAATTAGATTCTTCAGACTTGAAATTCCTACTACCTGCCCTCTAGGTACCACCTCCTTTTTTTCCACTCTGTTTTTCCTTCTTAGTATTGTTTCTTGTATTTTTATCCAACCTTATTGTACTCTACAAATTCCTAACATAAATTCTCATTCTACTGGCCATCCCCACCTCTTAAACAACTTCTGCTTAGGACCTTTGAAGCAGACATTTTGTTGAAAGGATGTTCATCTACTTCTCCTACCTTCATCCCAAGCACTCATTCTCCCTCCTCACATCTACTGAAGCCTGGTTTAACTACACTGCTGTCATTTTCCTTGAGGCACTCTCAGATCCCTTTCACATGAAATATGATATTTCTATGTATTACTCACTAAATGGTTAAAACCTCATACTTAGAGCAAACTAAACCATTTGCCATTGATATAGATCCTCAATGCCTTTCCTTCAGCAAAAGAAATAGGTAATTATTCACAAAAACCTTTGGCATTTGATTATATAATTATTATCTTAAGTATTAATATTTTACAGACAGCAAGTGAGTTCTTTCAACTAGGCATTTATCCTAGGTAAAGAGAATATATGTGTTTCAGTAACTTATAAACCTTTTATAGGGAGGTTTACTTTGATTTTTTTCTTTCTTTTTTGAAAGAGTTTATCTCCTAAACTTATTTTTCCAATACAACTTTGCTCAACATCAATCATTTGTGGTATTGGAGCTTCTGACCCATACAAAATGCACATTAATTAAAATAAAAATAAATTGCATCCTTCTGCTTCTTGAAAGTAAAAAATTAGTTTCACTTTTGAAAGTTTGTTATGATCCCAAGGAGGAAAGGGGAGCAACTTTAGGAAAAAATACGAAAGACATGAAATGGGAGAAAAAAATCATTAGACTTTCGGCCAAGAGTCCTGCCTGGTGTACTGTTCTAGGCAATTTTCACACCTCTCTGAGGTATTTTGTAAATCTATATGTTCTAGAAAACTAACATAATGTAAATGATTCTGTACTTATGAATTCAAATGAATTGTACCTGGTGGAACATGATTGATTACTGCTTGACAGAGAGACTGATTCATCTTTTGTAAATGCATTTCATCATTCCTCATTTTGTGTGTGTGTGTGTGTGTGTGTGTGTGTGTGTGTATGTGTGTGTGTGTTTCCTTGAAGTCTCCTTTGAAACAGTTTTAACATCTTACTGGCTCTCTCATTAGTTAATGAGATAGCAAAATCTGTGATAGTACTCATTTTAATTTGAGTTAGAGTTTAATATGAGTTGTGATTTTTGCCTTATTTTTCAAAAAGTAACTTTTAAGGTAAAGACTGTGTACACTGATCAAAAAAGATAAGTCTCTAGAGATCCAAGAAACGAAAATATTTCCCTTGGTTTTAAAATAAAGCACAATGGTATGGCTTGTCTTTCAGAATTCCTTACATTTATTAACTTTTTTAATCTCAGTAATTCTGAGAGAGTGGTATCATAGTCATTTGTGTTTTACAAATAATGAGAAGGCAAAAAGAAGGCAAGTAACTTCTCTGTATTCAAATAGTTGGCAAAAGACAAAGCCAAAATTAAAAACCTAGGCATTCTGGGCCCAGGGTCCATGTCATCAACCATCACACAATGGTGCCACCCAAGGATTCTTGCCAAAAGAAGACAATACTAAATACTCTTAGCTTATATTTAAACCAGAGTTTTTCACAGCACAATTGACATTTGGGGTCAAATAATTCTCTGTGTGAAGTGCTGTCCTGTACATAGCAACATCCTACTGCCTACTCCATGTTGGTGGCAGCCCCCTCCCCACAGATGTGACAAGAAAAATTTGTCGAGACATTGCCAAATGTCTTCTCAAAGGCAAAAACTGTTCCTAATGAGAATAGTCTTCTCTAACCTCTAACAGAAACTAACTCAATGAAATCATCCATATTTTAGTCAATAAATCACGTGGGGAGCAAAGTGAGAACTCTTTAGTAGCTAAGAAAACAGTTGAGTTAATCATCAAGTTGAGCAGTAAAGGACATATTTAGGGGTGATTACCTTATGGCAGACTGTACTTCAACAGCAGGAAGAGTATGATTTTTTGATGGGTCTGTAACCACAAACCAGAATGATACCCTCTGGGTTACATTGCAAAGCAAGACATGTGAAATTCTGCGAAGGATGGAAAGAAAAAATGCATTGTAAGAATATCATCCCAAATGGAATTAAACTGCTCCCTCTTGTGTGATTACCATCCTATGAGGCATATTAGCTGTGTGAAGAGCCATTTATATCATTGGAAGAAATGACTTAGTAAGAAAAAAAATTATTACAGGAAGTTCCCATTGTTTCAAAATCATATACTTGGGGATAATTCCTTAAATGAGGGATCTGCCAAAAAAAAAAAAAAAGGAATGAGGCATAGAGAGTATTAGGGATGAGATCCCTGGTAGCTGGATCTCAACAGCTGGTAGCTGACATCACTTTGCTTCCTCAGCACTTGAACCACAGAAGCCTTTGGCATGTCTTCATCAAGTTTGCTGATCCATTCAGCCTTCACCTCTGAGATCCAAGGAGAATCTGTTGCTGGTTCTTGATTTAACACTTGCTCTCTCAGCCTTTACTTCTATCCCTTCCCCACCCCAGCTGTGGCACTCTGACATGACAGACATACTTTCTGCATGCACTTTTGAGGAAGAAGTTCTTAAGAGCATTTTCTTCTGCATTGCTTTGAACAGACCTCCAAATTTAAGTTCTATAATCAATTCACCACCAGTCTTTGAACACTGTACTTTGCAGTTACATGCTTTTCAATGGGAAATTGGAAATGTGACTCATTCTTTTCTGTATACATGAATTACCAGTACAAGTGAAGAAAGAAATGGCTCAGAGTAAAGACAAGCTCTACGTGGATATATGATGACTGAATGTTATAGCAGAGTCCACAAAAAATTAACAACACCAGCACTGAACATAAATCCCCATGGCTTTCTCCATTTCCTAAACAACTAAGTTGCAAAAAGTGGCGTTAACATCCATCCTGAAAAATGAACCACATCAGTCACCTTTACTGAAAACAGTAAATTAGTTACTTGTTTTTCCATAAAAGAGCATCCAAGTGTATTATATTCATATTTACAATAATGAAAGAGAGCACCCTTCTGTCAATAGCTGCCTGCAGAGTCCTCATATTTTCTCCCTCGCAGTGTCAGGTACAAAAGTCAAGGCAGGTGCCAGGCCCCTCTGCCCAAAGCTAGTGTGTAGGACCAGCAATGGGAAGGAAAAAGGCTAGAACTGACCCTGTTGTCCAGATGGCATGGGGCGTCCTGGGTGCTGATGCACCCTGTGCTGTCCTCTTGTCTGGGGTGCGTGGGCTTGGCCCGTGCAAGACCCTGCGTGTCCCATGTTCCCCATACTTTGCTTGTGCGCTGATACCAACCATCACTCGAGTCTTGTGAGCTTCACCTCTGGCCATATCCACAGACCTCGAGAACAAGATCCCCACTGGAAGGCTCTATCCAACCTCGCCACCACAGCGCTCTCATGGGCAGGTACCTGGGCACCCACAAGGCCACAATGCCGACCTGGGCCCAGAAGTCCCGCTCTCAGAGGCCCAGGCCCAACCACCACAGGGCCCTCCTGGGCAGCTTCCTGGGCCCACGCGAGGTCGTGCTGCGGTCCTCTACCCAGGAGCACCACTTTGCCAGGCTCGGGCGCCCCCAGGATCCCAAGCTCCTGGTGAGCACCCCACGCCTCCCTACCGTGCAGCCTGGCATGAACCACGCCAGAGCCTCGGGGTCACTGGCCACCAAGGCTCTCAGGCACCCTCTCCGCACCTTGCCCGTCTGGCTCGTTGTGACTCCCGGTCCTCTGGGCACTCGCTACCATTTCCCGAAGCGCAGGCGTTGGGCAGCGAAGTACATCCGCGGGCACCAGCGCGGGATGAAAGGCCTATTCTCCTCTGGGTGCTCAGGGAGCCGCTTCAGCTGCCCACCCCCTGAGGAGAAGCCCGACCCCTGCGCCAAGGAGACTGTGCAGAAGGCGCTCAGCCAGTGCAAGGGAAAAGGAAGTTCGACGGGCCGCTCTGGTTTGAGGTCCCTGACCCCAAGATAAGTAAGCAGAGCCCTGCACCCACGCCATCTGCCTTCAAGCCCATAACCAGAGATGGAGGGCCCAGGCCTTTTGTGCCCAGGCCCGGGCTGCAACAGAGGCATTGGCTCTTCCCCAGGTGAGGAAGAGACTGCTATCCAGTAAAGCTTTCCCTCGGCCTGCACAGTCTGCCTCCCGACATGTCACAGAGCCCACACCAGCTCAGCACACAGTCTCACAGTCAGCTGGAGAGCCAGCAGTAGATATGATCCTGCCCAGGGGCCCCAAACCCTCCTCTCCTCAGTGAAACCCCTCAGGGTTTCACAGCCAGCATGATGGCCCCTTAGGCTCCTGAGAATCAGGGCTCCAGCCAATAAGATGGCCCCTTAGGCTCCTAAGAGTCAGGGCTCTGCCTCCTGACACTCCAAGGCACAGCCCTTGCATCCTAGTGACCCCCTGCTCTACCCTACAGGAGTCACTGGGTCACTTCCCACCCCTTCAGTGGACAGGTCTGCCACCTCCCAAACCACCTCTCCTTACCCTGCACAGCCCCCACTAAAGAGACTTTGCTAATATCAAAACCTGGCCTTGTGCCTGCCAGCCCACTCCTGCCTTCTCCCTGGGACCAGACTTGTCAGGAAAATGGGATACACACACACACCAATGCAACCCAGTTTGTGTAGTTAAATGTTTGTTCTTATTTTATGATAATAATTTTCCTAGAGATTGTCATATTTCTTCAAAAGACTCTACACCAAGGTTTCTCCAATTGGCACTGTTGACATTGGGGACACATTGTTTGTGATGGGGGCTGGTTCTGGGCAGTGAAGGTGTAAGCAAGATCACTGACCTCTGAGCAACAGGTGCCAGTAGCACACCCACAGCTGTGACAATCAGCAGTGTCACCAGGCATTGCTAAACAGCTGGGGTAGGGAGGTCAAAAGTCACACTGGTGGAGAACCACTGAGCATCACTGACCTCTACTGGCAAGAAAGAGTGAAGCTCAGTCTCTTAAAATGCAGTTTTATAATATGTAAGATATAGAGATGAACAAAGTGAAGTTGTGTGTACATGCTTGACTGACTGCACTGGGTAGTATGCACAGCAACTCATTCCCCACACCTGCCCTGCAAGGAACGGAATGGAAGTGCCATGACTCTCAGCCTCCCTGACCTTCTAGGGAGTCCCTGGCTTCTCTTCCACTGTCTACCTGGGGTGACAGTGACCTGACTAGGTCAGCTCTCCAGCAAGTCTTACAAGGATGCAGCTAGGACCTCTCTTTAGAAGTCATGTTCTTTCTCTCAGACAATCAAGGTCATGATGCACAAATTTGTCAATAGTAGGTTTCCAAACACAAAGAGGCAACCTCAAGAGTTAATGAGCCCCGTATGATTGGTGGTGATCAAACTTGACACAAGAGATATTGCAGTGAGGACAGGGTCAAAGGTGGGATGAAATGAGGGTATTCATCTTTCTGCTAATTACTTGAAAATCTTTAAATCTTTATTCTGGCAATTTAGGAATTATGGGCCTTTATTTTGGTTTTTAATTTTTTTGTAGACTGCTTTTGCTTGTGAATAAATATTCTTATCTGCCCTATTCATAAGTAGGAAAATTGTTAAAAACTATTTTAAAATTTTCAAATTGGCAAAAAAAATGTAAAACTTAAATGTTATCAAGTGCTGGGGAAGCATGGAATTAGAATCCCAGGTGTGATATGGAAGCCAATGGGTCCAGCCACTCTGGAGTGGCAATGGAAGTATTTTCTAGAAGACAGAGTGTGGCTACCAGAAATTCTCACATACACACACACATGTGACAGACAGACAGACAGACACTGGTGAGGATGTTCTTTGCAGCATCCTCAAGGATGTTCTTTGCAGAGAATGATCGCCAATATGGGAACAGATATAAAGTAAATCTGATATACGCTATCAAGGGAATACTATTCCACAGATTAAAGGGAAAAAGCACCCATAGTTTCTCAAGCTCAGAACAATTGGGCCAGATAATTCTATGCTGTGAGGAAAGAACAATGCACAATAACCGGGCATTGTAGGAAGCTTAGCAGCAAACATGGCCTCTACTCACCAGATACCATCTCCAGTTGTAACAATCAAAAACATCTCCAGACATTGCCAAATATCCCCTGAAGGACAAAATCATCCTTTGGTGGAAACCACTGAATTAGAACTACATATTTTTTAATAAAAGGATAAATCTCAAACTATACCATCAGGTGAAAAAGTTGGATGTGGAATATTATGGGTAGCACTGCAGTTTACACAAATTAAATAAATACAAAATAGCATTTCTATCATAAGAGCAGGCCAAAACCCAGGTTCGGGTCATGTGGACACTTGGCCTGTGTTATTCTTTCCATCTAAACCTCTTTACATACTATTCAAGGATGAATTTCATGGTATTCCCCATTAGAGAGTCAGAGAATACAGCTGGAAACAAAGCAAAGCCCTTTTTCCCATTGAGCTTGCTTTTTAAGTGGGTGAAAACAGAAGATAAACAAGTAAATAACTGCATGCTCTTTGTGGGGGAATGATATAAAGAAAAATAAAGCAGTGGAGGGATGCAGACAATTGCATCAACACACTTGTGGCCTGATCCTCTGTCTTCGTCATCATAAGACTATATTACCCCTCACTGTGAATTCAAGTTCTTTAAATTTATTCAATGTTTCCATTGGGTTGAGACTCACAATTTAATATGGTATCTCATCGGATAAAATAAAAATATTTTATCTACTTAGTAATATAATAAAAATTTTTAGAGATTTAAATTGTTGCTGAAAATATTAAAGCCTCCATTTTTAATGGAGACAGTAATTGCTAGATATAAAAAGTTCTTAGAGCCAGGTGTGGTAGTACATGCTCTTAATCCCAGCACTCAGGATGCTGAGGTAGGAGGACTGTGAGTTTGAAGCCAGCCTGAGCTATATAGCAAGACCCTGTCTCAAAAAAAAAAAAAAAAAGTAAAGTTCCTAGATTAAGACTCTAAAAATCAAGCTTTTATTTTGAAATTTACTACTTGCCAAATGCTAGATTTCAGACAAGTCATTTCATTGAGTA